AGCCTTCGTCTCCCAGGTAAGTCAGGGAATGGCCAAAGCACTGGGGATTAATTGGAAATTACATTGTGCTTACAGACCCCAGAGTTCAGGACAGGTAGAGAGAATGAATAGAACTATTAAAGAGACCTTAACCAAATTAGCTTTAGAGACTGGCACTAAAGACTGGGTACAGCTCCTACCTCTAGCTCTATTTCGAGCTAGGAATACTCCTGCTATACACGGTCTAACCCCCTACGAAATCCTTTTTGGAGGGCCACCTCCTGTTCTCAATGTAACTTTGTCTCCCTTGCCCTCTTCCTTTGATAACCCCAGCTTGAAAACAAGACTCCAAGCCCTTCAGATCATCCAGAACCTGGTTTGGAAGCCTTTGGCTGCTGTCTACTGGCCTGGGAGTCCACAAACACCTTACTGCTACCAAATTGGAGATCAGGTGTATGTGAGAAGACACAACGTAAAGACTCTTGAACCACGGTGGAAAGGACCCTACACGGTTCTCCTGACTACACCCACAGCCCTCAAAGTAGATGGGATTTCAGCATGGATCCACACTTCCCACGCCCTCAAAGTAGACAGGATTTCAGCATGGATCCATGCTTCCCACGTCAAGAGTGCCCCGGCCCAGGACGAAGAGAGCCCCGGCCCAGGACGACATTGGAAAATGGCATCTACACAAAACATCCAACCCCCTAAAAATAAGACTTTCCAGAGATACTTAATAATTCTTCTTATTTGTAGGTTTGTCCCCAGTCAAGGGAGTCCCCATCTCCCTGTGCTGACTACCTGGCGGGTAATTAAAGGGGTATTGAAGTGTTCGAAACCCACAAGATAGCACCCAAGGGTACTTGGTGGCCTATATTGTATCCAGACTTGTGTAAATTAGCCTTAGGAGCACCAGAGCCCTGGGACATATCAGACTTCATGGATCCTGATAAAGTACCTGGCCCAGAAAATTACCCCCTGTTGGCAGGACCCCACTTAACAGGGGGAGGGTGTCATGAACAATCAAGGACCATGTTGCGTCGGCATACCTTCTATGTCTGCCCAGGTAACCATCGTGCTAAGTGGCTTAATTCCGAATGTGGAGAAAGAGATTATTTTTACTGTAAAAATTGGGGATGCGAAACAACCGGGGATTCCTGGTGGTCTCCATCCTCATCTTGGGATTATATTACTGTAAAAGCAAATTATTCCCACAAGAGCCCAAATGCTCCTAATGGGGCTTGTCAAGGTAAATGGTGCCACCCTCTCCAGATAGAATTCACAACAGCAGGGAGGAAGGTCACAGATTGGGCTAAGGGACATTCTTGGGGAATTAGGACATATAAGGAGGGGACAGATCCTGGCCTTTTATTTACTATTAAGAGAGATACCTCCCCCTATTCAATAGTTATAGGCCCCAACCCCATCTTACCTATTCAGAATCCCATCCCCAGTCATCCGAATCCCCCGCCAGTTTTAATCTCCAACTCCCTTTCTGAAACTTCCCCTGTAAATGTCCTGTTAAAACAGAACTCTAGCTCCCAGATCACAAGGTTTCACCCATGGGGGACCGACTGTTTAATCCAAGGAGCATATAAGGCCATTAGACAGACCCCAACCTAACTGAATCCTGTTGGCTATGTTTAGCAGCAGCACCCCCTTATTACTAGGGCATAGCAATCCAAGGGGCTTTCAATAATACCACTTCAGCCAACCTATGTCATAGAGAGACCCCTCACCCCCTAACCCTTATGGAAGTCTCGGGATCTGGGCTCTGCCTAGGAAATCCACCTCCAACTCATGCCCGCCTCTGCAACTCCACTATTTCTGTACCTTCAGGAGAAAGAAATTACTATGTTCTGCCTCCACAAGGGGCTTGGTGGGCATGTAACTCTGGTTTGACTCCCTGTGCAGCTAGTATGGTCCTTAGAACCTCTCAAGATTACTGTGTCATGATTAAGCTCCTGCCCCGAGTATTCTATCACCCCACAGAGTCTGTAGAACAGTTCTTTGAACAACAACCAAGAAGGTACAAAAGAGAGCCTGTGTCCCTAACTTTAGCAATACTTCTGGGAGTAGGGATGGCTGCGGGAGTAGGAACTGGAACAGCAGCCCTGATACAAGGACCACAATATTATGCAGATTTACAGATGGCAGTAGATGAAGACATCAAGGCAATAGAACAATCAATTACACACTTAGAAAAATCTCTAACCTCCCTCTCAGAAGTGGTGTTACAAAATAGAAGGGGACTAGATCTGCTTTTCCTCAAGGAAGGAGGGCTTTGTGCGGCTCTAGGTGAAGAATGTTGTTTCTATGCTGACAACACAGGGGTTGTTAGAGACTCAATGACTAAGCTCTGTCAAAGATTAGAAAAAAGACAAAGGGACCGTGAATCCAAGCAGGGATGGTTCGAAGGATGGTTTAATAAAACCCCCTGGTTGACCACTCTAGTGTCCACTCTAGTGGGCCCCGTAGTTATTCTTCTCCTTCTCTTAACCTTCGGACCGTGCATCATCAATAGACCGTTACAGTTGATTAGGGACCAAATATCAGTGACTCGGGCCTTGGTCCTTACCCAACAATACCACTCTCTAAAAAGAACAGAAAACCTATAGATTTTATGATTAAAATCTTGCCATAAGAAAAAGGGGAGAATGATGGAATCAAACCAAGTCCCCCCAGATCAAAAGAAGAATATTCTGGGAAGCTGTACAAGGAAGTAAGATGTAAAATCTAACAAACCGTTGAGAAAAAGCTGACCTTTTCATGCTCCGTGTACAAGCTGAAAATCACCCGAAACTTCCCCCTCCCACTTCTGCCGGTCCCCCTCCCACTCCTGCTGGTTGTGGTTTGTGATTTTTGCCTTAAGCTGAGCTCTGGGCTGTTGCTCTCCCTCGAGTGAGGTAGGAGCCCGTCTGCGCAAACGATTAAATCCTCTTGCTTGTTGCATCTCCTGGTCTGAGGACTGAGTTATTGGGGTGCGGCCTCCTGTGGACATTGGGTACCCAAGTCCGGGGGCCCAACAATAAGAATCAGAAATAAACATTGATAAAGTGTCATTTCCAAATCTACAGCCCTTTTCTGATTTTGCTACTCTTTCCAAATGCCCTTTATCAACGCCAGGCATGGTGGCTTTTAATCCCAGCCCTCGGGAGGCAGAGGCAGTCAGATCTCTGCTAGATCAAGGCCAGCAAGGTTCACATAGCGACTTCCAGGCAGGCTGGGACTAAGGAGACCTGTCAAAAAAAAAAAAGAAAAAAAAAACACCCTTTATGATAAGAAAAATGCTGCTCAAGGGTCTTTCCTAGGACCAGACATGCATTTCACTATATCTTGTGTATCCTAATGTCTCTCTGATCTTTAATCTGGAATACTGCCTAGTCTTTCTCTGTCTTGTGAGACCATGTCATTTTTGAATAGTATAAACCAGATATTTCTAAAATGTGCCCCAATTTTGGTTCATCCAAACATTTCCTCACAATTAAATGTAACTTCTGTATCATGGACATGAAGGAATGTCTCAGTGTTTCTCATAGTGGAATGACTTCTCTGGACAAATGGAATCTTACCTAACCTTGAAACCCAAGTTAATCCTATGTTTTAACATCCTTTAGCACTATCTCAGCTTGTTTATA